TTGTAATCTCGTAATGTCTCTTTATTTGTCGCACATGATATCTCCATTGACCCTGCCTTCGTAGCGTACCAGCTCACTCGCTCCTAGTTTGAGAAACTTTGCTCGATGCTGGCGTATGTGGTCGTAACAACAGGTGCAAATCCTCCGCAGCGAAGCACACGTGAACATCCACACACGCTCACACAGGCCCCTCTGTCCGAGCAGCCGGATAGAGCGGGCGCTTTGATATGATGCCCACTGCATCTCCCATTCTCCGCACCGCTCTGCCACCGCCTCCCCACCACCACCACCCTCTTTCTCCGTCATGCCCACCCTTTCCCTCGCACGCTCCCTCATTTCCTCCCCCATCTTAGGCTCCCTCAGCCTTTTCTTTCATTTTGCTTTGCACCTCCCCATTTCTGAATCCATGTCCCTGCTCTCTCCTCTCTCTGCCTCAAGGCCATAAAGCAGGACGCTGTTGTGTGTGTGTGTGTGTGTGTGTGTGTGTGTATGCATATGTGCGTCTCTACGTGTCTGAACGTGTCTAGATACGCGTTGGGCATCCGCGTGTGCGTTGCTGCTTCCCCATCTTATGACATGTGCTGTGACTCCAACACGATCAGATCTGGTTTCCATGACTACCGATGCCCCACTTAAAGCTGCTGCTCCAGAGTTTTTTGTGTGTCTGTGCATGTGTGTCAGCGCACACATACGTACGTACCATATATTTCAGTGAGCGTTTCCTTTGAGTGCATGTAACCATGTGCATCCATAGGCACCGCTTGCATCTCTGCATTTCTTTTGTGCATAGGAGAGGGGGGGAAAAAATGGAGGACAGGAGGAGTTTCCTCTCTGCCTGTGTGTGTGTGTGTTTCCCCATAATAAGGCGCACTCTTTAATCTTTAATGCAGCTGAAACTACAACAAGCACACAGTCAGAGGCGGGAGAAGTGTGTCTTCCAACACAGACTTCCTCGCCATGTCAGCGGGAGTCTAAATCAGAGGGCACAGTATGGAATAATAGTAAACACGGCCCTCCACTCCCCAGGAGACTCAAAACAACCCAACAGCAGAGAAATAAAGCCGTTCCTGCTCGTGTGTGATGCCACTATTATGCATTTATATGTTGGGATTTTCACCAGCTACCTGTGAATATGCACAGGCTCTCAGTCATTCACAGTTCCCCTGCACTGACAGAAATGTGACACATCACCATTATTTTTAGATTGTTCCAATACATTACCACGCAGAGAGGGATGGAGAGATTACTGCAGGAAAAGTGAACTGCCTTATTCATTTTCCTGTCAATGTATGCATCAGCAGGCTGCCGATAACCGTGCGCCTGAAAGCACAGGGCGATCTTATGAGGTACGCGCAGCACCGAGAGCAGAAAGGGAAGTCCATTTTTTCTTTGTTGCCTCACATATTAAAGCGCGGATCCGTATACGCGCCACACTTAACACATCAATTGCGTCTGCACACACCCCGGCAGATGCATACCCTCACACACAGCATAGAGGAAACTCCTCCGGTGTGGGTGTTCAAATCAAAACAAATGCTGATGAGTCATCTTTCTGTGAGCCTCACCAGTGTTCTGCTGCTGGAGCAGTCCTTCCCACAGCAGAGGGAGATACAGTATAGTCTGCTCTGCCTGGTAGCTAGCTGTGTCAGGTTTTCTCGACGGGACTGCAGAGTATCACGTCTCTCTCTGGCCCGTATTCCGTCATATGACAGGATTGAGCTGTCGAGGACGGAGAGCTGCTGCTTGCGAGACACTTGTGATTTTGCTAAATATTTTGGGAAAGGTTCCTAAAAAAATTCTGTCCTAAATCCTCTGACAAATGTCCAACAGCTGGGTGTCTTTGTAATTCAATCTGTTTTATATCAGTCCAAGCGGATCATCTCACAAAACCAATTTAAATCCAGTTACTGGCTGTATTGAAGACATGTCTTTTTTTTTTTACACTCAAAACGTGTAAGGTAATGCATTTTATTTTATCTATTTGGTACAACTTGTATTTCAATAAAATAAAACGGATGTTAGCTTAGTGAAAGCATGCAAATATTTGTTCCCTACATGCATTATCGATTATATAGAGAGTTGTAAGACTTCTTCACCTCCATCACTTGGTGGTTGGTGCAACATCCACCAACTCATCCCCAATGTGGGTTTTTGTTGCTTCACTCTTTCCCTCACAAAAAGCTACAAAAGACAATTTCAGTTTTAGTAAACACACAATGCAAAAGAGCTGTTGTTTAAGTAAATTACTACTTTGAATGAATTTATCTTACTTCTTTGTGAAAGGGAGTTTAGTTTTGTGAATGCTGTCAGCTTGAAATTTACGCTTTCTCACTTTAAATTTAAGTAAAAGCACAAAAAAAAAGAGTTTATTACTTTTTTAACACTGCATCTGATGTCATAACATCCATGTTTCTTCTAGTTTTTCTACCGCAACTTAAAAAGAACTCAAGAAGAACCCAAAAAGGTCAACAACAAAATCATTTAATGTTTGGCTAAATAGTTAGAAAAACTTAAAATCTTCAAGTTGACTTTCTTTAACATTAAGTTGCAGAAATGCAAACTCTTTATCTGAGAGGAATCCAATAATTAAATACATCTACCTTAAACTGGTGGCATTAATATAACTTCATTTGGCTCAACTTAATTCAGTTGCATGTTACCAGTTTTAGCCGTTTATTTAAGTTGGACCAACAATTCTCTTTTTCAGTGCATTTAAGTTAAAGTTGTTGATATTGTGCGTCGACAAAAAGGTTTCTATCATGAAAGAATGACTACGGTGGCCACTTTAACCCCCCACCGACACAGAATGTGAATAATTTAGCTGAATGATGTAGGTGAGGACAAGTGTTTTCTGTCAGCACCCATGTGTCTTTTATCCGCTTTCTTATGGGAAGCAAGAAAAATGGCTCCTAAAGAAGGTCTTAGTGTCACTTCTTTGCAATAAAAAAAAATGGTACAAGACTACTTGGATCAGTGTGAGAGAGAGATGAAGCGCTTCTAGCAAAGAGGCCAAAGAGAAGCCCGTGTAAGCGGACAGATTAATACTAGCCTTTTCCCCTTTTACTGTATTCATAAGAAAATAAGATCTGAGCATAAGCCTGCCACTGAGGGTCTGTGTTTGAAGCCCCGCAGGAGAAAGAAGGAGGGAGCTTCACAAGAGCAGGGACGACGCTGTGAGATGTTGGCGACCGTCTGCGAAAATGAATATCTGAGCTCTTATTGTGAAAGAGGCCAGACTGTTTCACCGAGGGCAAGATTAAACAATGTTCCTTCAAGACTTTGGTGCGACTGTGGACGTTTTTATTGTCTTTACACAACTGATGACAAACCTAAGAGGCTGGTTTAGTGTCTCAGATGGCCTCAAACTTGCACATAATGACACATGAGGAAAATAAAACGTTCCCATATTCAGCTACAGGGTGTAAGACACTTCACCTTTAAATGCTTTTAAAATGAAACTATCAATATCTAGTATGACAATTTCATAATGATCACAATTTGCAGCCTTCGTGCTCGGCTTTTCCTACTGATCCAACTTTTGTTTCCTGCAAGAGGATCATTTGTTTAACTTGGATGAGGCGCACATAACTTTCACATGCTGGATAGCACATAGTGTTTTTGGCACTGCCTGGTTCATAACTTCGCTGCATGTTTCAAAGCCCAGGAAAGAGAAATTAACTCCACATTTGGAAGCAGGTTTCAGTCGAGTCCTAAAATAAGGCAGCAAAAGCCACGATCACTGCTGTCTGAGCACAAACATGTTACTGTGTGGCATCAAAAGCAACAGAACAGCTTCCCATGTTGCAAAACTCTGACCACACTTGGCCTGTAATCCCCCCAATCGAATTTCAACTCAGCCCCTCTTAATAAACGGTGAACACTCCACGGACGAGAGGATGAAGCTGTAACTCCACCAGCGATTCTCAAACCTGGAGCATCATCGTAATCACTCAATGCAACGCATCCCAAGTAATCCCTCTTTTTTTTTGCATCCTGCAGGTTTACGAAGACTTCTAATGAAAAAGGCCCTGAAACACATGCAGGGACGTGGAGATCTTGAAGGGAAAAGGTTAATGTGCAAATAACGCAGACACACAATCACAAGTAGGCGATCTATTACACTTCAGTAATAGTCTGAGTCATCAAACAAGTAGTGATTAAGTCATCCTCTTAAGTAAAGGGATTGCGGACACCCTCCCTTCCCATTTCCATTGTCTGTCACTAGGCCTACCACAGTTCCTCTGGAAGATGACCAAGAGTGTGTGTGAGCACCTACCGCACACACATACATCCACACACACACGCACGCACGATTAGTGATTACTCATTCATACTGTCTCTTTTAAAGGGACGTTTCTTGTGCCAGCAAAGCGAGCAGCAGCAGCAGCAGCAGAAGCAGCAGCAGCAAAGAGAGAGGAAGAAAAAAAAGAAAAGCGAGTGTGATCGCTGCGTTTGCCTTATATGGCAGGCGGCATTGCGCTGTCCACGGTGCTGAAACGGACTGTACGGCTGGCATCACGGGGGGGGGGTGGACGGATGGAAGGATGGATGCATGGATGGATGCATGGAGGGTTGCGGTGGTCTAGTGAGGGGTGCATGCAGCTAACTACATTAATCACGCACACGCACGTTGGCACAAGTGGGTGATATGTGGTGGGGGGGGGAAGCTGGAGGGCATGTGCCAGTGAGTGGAGATGATTCCACATTCATTGATGAGCAGCAGCAGCAGTTACAGACTATAGGTTTGGATTGCAAGAGCCGGATGACAGAATGCATCCGTTCCCCTGCACCGGCTCCCCCCCACCCCCCTCCCAAGGAAAAAAAAAAAGCCCCCTACTTTAGTATCCCCCACGTCAGCCCTGCAGGTGTGGATGAGGAGAACACACATGCACAAGAGAGTGTGGCCCTCCTCAGCATCATCAGCACCACAACCACCACCATCATCATCATCATCCTCACAAGCAGCAGCATGAACATGAAAGATGCAGGGAATCCGTTACCTTTCATCCAGTCCAGCACTTGCTTTGGTGTCCATTTACTTATAGGTTCCATAACCAAAGCCATGGTGTCACAGTCTCTCCGAGGTGAACGGCACGGCAGGACTCGATGCGGGCGACATAAAACGACCTGTCAGTCACATCTGGAAACGACGACGACTTGTGAAGGGGTGGTAGAGGGGGG